AAAGGGTTAAAAAACAAAACAAAAAAATACTAGAGTTTCAGTTTTACTGAATGGAATATGCTTATAATATCTGAATTCAAGAATAATACGCATGTATTTTCTCAGGTTTTCTATATAAATAATACAAGAGTTTCAGCAGGTTCCATCAGAATCGGATGCTATTTTGAGAATTAAGATATGACGGGGAACTAATGATTTCTTTGTTCTAATGTCATTATTTAAAATGAAAACAATATTGCATTTTTTTGGGCCAAAAACAATATTGCATTTGAAAACTAGATTTTGGCTGGAAAAACCCAACAAGGCACAGACATTGAATCAGGATGCATACAACAAATTAGAAAAAGAAATGGAAGAAAATAAATAGGCTATACGGGCGTCTCAATATGCTGCATAACAACACAACACATATATATAGCACGGAGAAGCAGGCTAACTAGCCTTGAATACTTACTTGGAGCCCAGCCCGACTTGCTGTAGCAAAGGAAATTATTTTGTGGCTAATTTTTTTATGAATTATTGACAGAAATTCCGTGAAAAAAAATTTTTACCATGAAAAATGTCATTACTAATTCCGTTACTAATTTTAAAATTTATGATCTTAAATTATAATCCTGCAATAATTTATATAATTATATAATTAAGAATGTATGATTTAAATATATTTTTAATTATATTTATGGATTTGGTGTTAATAAAAATATCGTCATCATTTATTCATTACTAATTCCGTTACTAATTTTAAAATTTATTATCTTAAATTATAATCCTGCAATAATTTATATAATTATATAATTAAAAATATATGATTTAAATATATTTTTAATTATATTTATGGATTTGGTGTGTTAATAAAGTATGTCATCATTTACTTCATTATTAGATACAGAGACAAAAAAAAAAACAATTTCTTAGAAAAATTATTTGTTTGATTAAAATTAGCGCCTCTTGATTATTAATAATAATTAAACAAATATGATAAAAATATTAATAACGTTCTTGTACAAATTAATATAAAAAAATAATTCCATTAGGAAAATTTAATTATTTGATCCTTATAGTTTTGCTGAGTTTATAACCCAATCCTTATACTTAAACGCATCGCCTCTCAGTCCTTATTCTTTTCTCGGTTACCTCCTTCCATTTTTCAGAAACAGCAAGTCACTTGGAACTCATCCTATGTGGCGCTAACAGTGATTAACAGTGTTAAATATGCTTACTTGACTGCCACATCAGCACCACATCTCATTAAATAAAATGACAATTTTTTTTACAAAAAAAAAGACCTGAACCTCGCCTTCCTCGTCTTCTCCCTTCATTCCTCCCCTTCATCCCTATTACGTCACAGATATACATCTGCGGCATCAAATCTTAACCTTTTCTGTGTTGGGCTGTGGATTGAACTTATTCTAGGGTTTTAACTTTCCAGTCAAGTTTTTGTTTTTCCTTTTCTAAAAAGGATTAAAATTAGAATACATAAGATTGTAGTTTTTTAATGTGATCAATGATTTGTCCGTTTTCGTGGAAGCTGGGTCACAATCGTCTTAAATGTAAATTGAATTTGAAGATTTCTTTATTATCTTCAAAGTGGAAAAGAAACGAACAAAAGAAAGAAAAGAAAGAAACGGGTCTGAAACAAGGACATCGAGTCTTGATAATGGGGGAACAAGAGAGCAATCAGATCTAGAGAAGATTGCAAGAAGACAAACAAATGAGAGAGAGAGAGAGGGAGATCGATGAAGCTTTGGGGTGAGAACGATTGAAGAAGGTAGATAAACATTGAATTTGGGGGAAGACGGATTAGCGAGGTTGATATGATGGAGATCGTGGTTCTGGTTCAGAAGTGTCGCTATGGTGGTAACATGGAGAGAAGCGTCGCTGGTGTGAGGGAGGTCGCTGGTTTGGGTTGGTCGGAGATGCCGGAGATGGAGATGAAGAAAGCCTATGAGGACGAAGATGTGGAATGGGCAAATGATGTGGCAACCAACTAAGCATATTTAATACCGTTAGTCACCGTTAAGTGCCACATAGGACGAGTTCTGGGGGACTCGGTTGTCTTCTGAAAAATAAGGACGGATGGAGATAACTGACAAAAATAAAAGTATAAGGATTGAGTCACAGTGAGTTAACATATAAGTACTAGCTTACAAACTCAATAAAACTATAAAGATCAAATAATTAATTTGTTTTTCTCTCTTTTTTTTTTTTTGAAATATAAGAGGCAAGTGAATGCAGATAGAATCTAATCCAATAAAATAACCATTTATCCATTAGTCAATGGAAGCTAATGTCCAATTCAAGTTTCCTTTCTTATGAATTCAACTTTTGTTATTTACACAAGGAACCTATCTGGCTTTTGTCCAGCCATTGACTTAATCATCATGGTAAATGCAAGTAACTAAGGATATATTCCTCTGGTCATTAATATAAGACCTATTTAGCTAATTTGATTAGATTGAGAAAGTTAGATAAGTTAGTTAATTATAAGAAATATGACATATTTTTCAAAACATCATAATCATCTTCCTTAATATTCTCTTTCCCTTTTCTACTTGATTATGGTTGAAGGAATATCCATGGGGATGATTTAGAAAAAATTTATAAATATAAGAAATAGGTCTTATATTTAGAACCAAAATTAACTTAACAATTAGATACTATATTAATGACGGGAGGATTAAAATTTAATTGTATGATCGAGGTTGCATTTGTGAAATATATTTCTAATTTTATATTCGTTCAGGAATGATTGTCACCAAATGACAGCCAAATGATCATATTGGAACCAATACTTTAATAATCTTGTTTAATGTTTAAAAATACAGGTTCCTCAAATAATGCACCAAATGATTTGTCAACTTCTAATAACTGAGTTGGCATATGTATTTCTGTAGTTAAATTAAACTATTGTTATTATTGTTATACTATTTTTCTTGTTTAATTATCATTTCCTATTTTTTAAACGTTTTCTCTCCCCCCCCCCCCACTTTTTGTTTTATTGTTCTTTTTCATCCTTATCTGATAAAGGGCTTCCTGAAATTAATAACAAATTATACTAAAAATATTGCTGAGCCGAGCAATTTGTGGGAGCACATTTTGTGCTCACCACCAATCTCACCGTGTAAATTAATTTTGGACTGTCCACATTTGATTTAATTTTTATATTCTAAATAATTTTTTATTTTAAGATATATATAAATTTTAAAATAAAGATAATCTTATAACTATTACTTCTAAAAAAGAATGAATTTATCACTTAAAAATCATATATTAAAATTTTAAATTTAAACAGCCTAGATCTCATCACAGTGATGAGTACTTTATGAAAACCCATGATTTATAAGTGAATAGCTTGAATAGCTCTCTTAGTTAAATAACGTGCTAAACTATTTATGGCATTGACCAAAATAAAAGTCAACTTTGTGATGTATTTTATTTAAACCACGCTTTACCAATTTTTCTTTCCCAGAAAAAATTACATTATTTTATTCTTCCAATCATTTATTTAACAATTAACTATCCATATATGAGATTTTTTTTTTCAACAAAAAAGAAAGAATACGATGCTTTATAAGTAGAACTTACATAAGGGTTCAAAATTCAAACTACCAAGAATTAACAGTTTTCTTCTTTCGTTTTGTACATGCATTCAATGAAATATTTTAACCTTAAAATAATTCACAAATAAATTATCTCAAGTCCAAACCTGTAGTTATTGGGCTTGTACTCATATATTAAGAAGAAACAACTTTCTTCCAACACAACTTGCCGTTATTAGTACGGATATTTTTGTTATCATTTTTATAAAGCCTTAGTCGCATAGCATTATACATTTAAGATTCACAGTGCAAGGACTTGGTGTGGATGTTATTTCTTTCTTTTAATTTGAATTCTCTCCACATCCTTTCTTGTCATTCCTTCTCTTCGTATGCCTTTACTATTAGATTAAAAATTCAACCATTCATACAAGATATCCTATAAAACTATTAATATAATATTATATAAAAATATTTAAAAATAAATTTAAACTGTTAAATTTAAACTATCCACAATATAACTGTAGAGTGTAGACTAATAATAGTTTTATAAAATTTTAAATTTTAACTGTCAAATATTTAACCTAAAGGTAGAAATGGTAGCAGGAGAAATCAAGGAGAAAAATGAAGAGGAAATCAATAATCCTATAGTTTCAATGACAGCCTTGTGATAATAATTTTGACTGGACCAAAAATTTTGGGTCAACCAACCAACTAGACGAGCACGTTGTGAAGGAACAATTTCCTAAGTAAACCATTCTAAAATATTATTAGTACTTGTATTATTTTACTCATAGGCAATCTTAGAATACAGATCCACTTATTTTTATATGTAACAAAAGTAAACGATGGCCTAAGCACTGGTTGGCTTATAAATGGCCCACGAATAATCAAATCATCAAGCTTTTAGAAATTCCGAGCAAACTTTGCAATGGAAGGCTCAGTACCACCATCGTCTTCAACAATTTCAAGAACTGCTCTTCTGGTTTTGAGGGTTCTGACCTTTGTATTCCTTCTCATAGCTCTCATTCTCATTTCCATCAACAAGGGATCTGAAGTTTTAGAAAATGGCGATAGTCTTAAAATCAAGTTCAGTGATCTTCGCACCTATCGGTACGTATAGCAATTAATTATTTACTGCATTTTGTTCTCAGAGATTCTTTTACATGGACATTTACTTCTGTTCTGGGTAGATAATTAGATGTTGAATTTTTTTTTCAAAAAAAAATGAATTCAGTCTCCATTAATTCAGTCACTATATTTTTAAAAAATTAAAATACATGATTGGGACTTTTCTTAGGCATTTTGTTGAAATTATATACTTTTTAAAGTATTTGAATGTTAACTTTTTTTTTAAAACTCATTTCATCCAAATTTAATAGTATATTTGGAAGAAGTTTGTTCACTTTAAAGCCAAACTGCACGTTTGAGTTAATATTATTAGCCCAGAAATTATCATTTACAAAATATTATATTCCATGTTAAATTTTGGCACAAATTTAATTTGATTACTAGTAATCTAACTGAAAATTTTTAATATTCTATTATATATCTTCATAATTGAATATCCCCCTTCATATTTATGGAGATAATGTTTTTGGATTGCTTTTTTCAAATCGTTGCTGTAACATAAGGCAAGCATGTCTAGATTAAGAGATTTGAAGTTAACATAATTAATTAATAGTAGTACAAGTTATTTTAATTTACTTGAAAAGTAAGTGACGTATATTGACTTTATATACATAGTTCATTTATTTTTGCTTATATGTTACTCACTGTAATGAATAAGCATAGATCATTTATATGCTTTTTTGTGTGATTATAGATACATGATCGCCTCAATTGTGATTGGGTTTGCATATAACCTTTTTCAAATGGCACTCTCAATCTTCAATGTAGTCTCTGGAAAGCGTCTTATAAGTGGTGATTTTGGCTACCAACTTGACTTCTATGGTGATAAGGTAATATATAGTAAATCTCATTCTATTTATTACTTCAATAAATTAATTGGAAAAAAAAAAAGAAGAAAAGCCACATTAATTATTCACTGCTTATAAACAATTTAGATTGCTCTCTCTCTATATACACACACACATTATCCTCAATCCTTAATATAAGAGTTGGTTGACTAATTTGAGTAGATTAAGGAAATTAGTTAAATTTGCTAATTATGTTTATTAGTTAGAACTATTATGTAATCAAACATTTTACATGTGCAATTACTACAATAACTACCTTGAGAAAAATGGATAAATATGAGAGATAAAGTGAATTTGGGTTTTATATTTAGGACCAAATAAAAAGTCAAAATACCTCTTATGTTAAAGACAAGAGGTAGTATATTGACAAGCTTGTTTTATATATATATATATATAATATGTTGTATATTGAATGATTTTTACTACTCCCTCTAGTACTTAATATCCAGAAGGTGCACAATTACAGACGTTTAAATGGTTATATAGTCCATTTAACACACACACACACACACACACAAACACGTTAATTTATATAAAAAAAATTATATGAAATCAAATTATCTAATTGAATCAAATTTTAAAAACGGTGATTTAACATCAATAATAATGTTAATTCTAATGGTTATATGATTTTGTGGGCAGATTATATCATACATATTGGCAACAGGAGCAGCAGCAGGATTTGGTGCAACCATGGATGTGCACAGTGCGCTTAGTGGCCTAATTGGCCTTCCTTTTGACAGCTTCTTTGAGAAGGCAAATGCTTCTGCAAGTCTTCTCTTTGTTGGATTTCTATTCACAGCCATTGCTTCTGTTTACACTTCCTATGCATTGCCCAAAAAAACTTAATTACATAAATCAAGTGTAGTATAACGGGGATTTGTATGCTCGTTCATATATACATACATATGTATGCATATATATGTATGTTCTTCATATGTGCCTATATATACGTATAAACTAAAGATTTTGGTTTTTCTTCCTTCTCTTTTTTTTTTTCCAACAAAGGTTTCTGGTTTTTCTAGAACTTGTCTCAGATTTCCATCAACCATTGACTTATTTAATCTAAAATCATGTTTGGTACTCAAAATAGAGTCGAATAGATATTGGATTTTTATTTTCGAAAAGATATAAAAAATAAATAATTGAATGTGTCTGATGTTGGGTTGATACGTGATCAAGCCTTGAATTGCATATGAGCCACATATTTGGGCCGGACCTAAATTTCGGCCCATAAATAGGACTCATGTTTGATATAATACTAAATATATCATCATAAAGTTCTGGCTATAACAATTATTCTTCACCAATTTTTTTATTTTAATAGTTTTAAATACAATATCTTTGTTCTTAATCTTAAAATGAAGCGCGTTTTAAAAAATGATATGAATTTTTTTTTGGTTGAATCCAGAATATTCATTGCCAGATTGTTGTACATAAATTAGTCTTTCTGACACCAAGCGAGGCGGGCATGAATTGATATTAAAAAGTTTTAAAATCGTGGTTGTGGTTAGAGAAAATAATTGAAAACGGGCAGCTAATTGATTCCAGATAAAAAAAAAATTATAATTTTAATAATTTTTAATGTGATATCAAGCATGTAACGTCCTGAATCTTAATAGCCATTTAACCCTGATTTTTGAAGATAGATTAGTGATTTAAACTTGAATCTTGGTGTCTAGTTTAGGATCAAGTGAGTCGAAGGAGCAGGTGAACAAATCCCTCTCAGGATTTATTCGTCGCGGCGAAGCAGAGAGTTTTGGGAGAGCTTCTTTTCGGGAATATGTTTTCATCGCGACTAAGTTAAGGAGGAGTCGCGATGAAGGTGTCAGTTGAGCAAGAGTTCCTTTCGGGAAAAAGTTATCGCCGCGATGAACTTGGATCTCTCGGTTAGAAAATCCATCTCAGGATTAGTTAGTCGCAACCAATTACTAGGTTCGCCGCGACGAAAAGGTCACATCTTTAAATCCGAAGGAGGGGTCTGTGTGACAACCGTTCCTTTAAAACCCATTTTAATCAAAATTTTCAATTTATTCGAATGATTAACCATGATAGAAAAGAAGAAACCTTAAAATTTTAAAATCGCTATCATGGTTAAAAGAAATAAACTTATATTACGAGCCACATCAATCGTTCACTTGGGCCTTGGACTTTTAAAGTCCAGAAATATCATTCAACCATTAGCCCAAACCAGACTTATATTTTCAACATACGAACTGATAAATCAGTTTAATATAAACTATAGAGCTCATTAGTCAAAAGTCAATACTTTCAAAGGAGCGTTACACGTAGAGTCTAAAATGTCTCGGGCCTCCTCACGGCCCTATCATACCAGATAGTAGTAATCACAAGTATTCTTTTACATCATGATAGTAGATGAGCCCTATGTGGCAATATATAACAAGTCAACACATAGAACAAAAGCAGGGAGGCTATACAAGCTATAACAGCACACTATGCCTCCGGAGCCTTCCCTGATGGGCCACCACCTGAACTATCGCCTGAAAATGTTAAACCACGGGGTGAGACAAATGCCTCAGTAACCAACTTTCCAACTCATCATACATACTAACATGTGCTCGTGAGGTGTCAAGTGGGACAGTTATAAATTCTCGAGAACTATAGATATATCCATAGAAATATAATTTCAATCATCCAAACCCTCACTATGGGGGCCAACACACAAGCCACATAAGTCTATCCCTCACTCTGGGGGATCAATCAACCATATGGGCCTATCCCTCACTTTGGAGGACGAATAAGAAGCCACAAAGGCCTATCCCTCACTATGGGGGACGAAAGAAGAAGCCAACCAATGTGCACCAATGGCGGCCTTACCACGTGGTAGGATAGGACTCAATCCAAAATCCAAATAACAACCAATCATTCACAATATAATAAAAATGTTTCAATCTTTCTTCAGTATAATCCATAAGATATAAATCATATATCTTTTCCAAACTTCTCAATACAATTCCAAAAATCCCACGAGACAATTTTCATAGCTCAAAAGACATAACATATCTACTCAAGTTCCAAATATCAAATATTATTCTGAAAACATCAAAATACTCACAAACAACATATTAGCACATATAACAAGTGGAAAGTGGTTACCTCTCGCCACAGCAATACTAAGGATTACCACAAGGTCAATCCTTTGCTCAACCAATAATTAATCTACACAATTAATATAACCACATATTAATATAAACTAATTAATTAATTAATTAAACTTCTCTATATTATTAAAATTTTTACTCTAAATTCCCGCAACTCTCATAACCCAAAAATTATTAAGTATTTTAGCAACAATTTAAAATTTCTAACAACTCCAAATTATTTATTTACCACCTCCAAATTATTTACCTTAATAAAAAGGATTTTCAACAATTTCTAAATATAAAATTATTATATTATAAACTCTAAAAATCCTCATTTAAGTTAAACCTCAAAATCAAACTATCAAAAATTCAATAATATTTCAAATATTTATAAATAAATAATCTAATCAAAACTTTAATGGTATAACTACCATATATGTATTTCCATAAATAATAAACTTTTTAGCTACAATAATTATTTTAAAACCTCCAGTCACCCAATAAATAAAAATAAACCGATTAAAATCTTAATAATATGTTAAACACCTCAATTAAATTATTCAACTTAATTTTAATCGGTAAAATATGATATAAATCATATATCACATATTTTCAACTAGAAAAATCCATTTAAGCACTAAAACCAACAAATGGACCAATCCAAACCGATTAAAATCTCAATATTATATCAAACAATCCAAATAAATTATTTAACTTAAATTTAATCGGTAAAAATATAATATAAATCATATATAACAGATTTTTCAACTAGAAAAATTTATTTAAATACTAAAAACCAACAAATAGAGAAATCTAAACCGATTAAAATTAACAACTTATTTATTTCTAAATTTCTATAGTCATCTTTTGTCAAAACTCAATACTTATATCACATATAAGTCTCAAAATTTTCTCTAATCACTATGGTAGTACTACTATTATGAAGCATAAAATATATGTGAAATATTTATGAAGAAAGTTTGATGAAAAGAGATAATTTCATGTACCTAAAATATCTTCAAAGCTTATTTCCTCCTCTACCGGTCTGCTCCTCCCACTCTAACTCTCTCTTTCTCTCTACTTCTTGTTCTCTCACGCACTCTCGCCTTCTGCCTCTTACTCTCTTTTATTCTACAATTCCAACCACCCGTCGCACAATTTTCCTCATTGCATTAACTCTTCATCTCCTAAGTCTTCCTTCTCTCCCCCTAAGTCTTCCTTCAAACCAATTTTTTCCACACGTTTGCCCATTTTCCACTCTCTCCCAAATTTTCCACCCTCAAGTTTCAACTTTCCACCGAAAGTTGGTGGAAAGTTGACTCTTTTTTTTTTTTTTAAATAATAGGATATTACAATTCTCCCCACCTAAATAGAATTTTGTCCCCAAAATTCAAACAACCACACACAAGAAATAAAAACAAAAGTAACTCAAAGCGCTTACTAAGAAAACAGGTAAGGGTACTCGTAACGCATCCGTTCCTCTGTCTCCCAAGTAGCATCACCGGGACTCATGCCCTTCCAAAAGACTTTAACAAGACGGATAGTTTTATTCCTCAATTGTTTGTCCTTAACGTCCAAAATCCGCTCTGGTTCTGCTGAATAGGTCAAATTATCTCGCAACTCAACTTCTTCGGGTTCAATAACATGAGATGGATCGGGATGATACTTTTTCAACTGTGACACGTGAAACACGTCGTGTAAACTGGAAAGATGTGGCGGCAGCGCAATTCGATATGCAACAGGTCCAATCCGCTCTAAAATCTCATAAGGACCCATAAATCGGGGTGTAAGCTTCTTGGCTTTAATGGATCTACCAACACCAGTAACAGGTGAAACCTTCAGAAATACATGATCACCCACTTCAAATTCTAAAGGCCTCCTCCGACGATCTGCATAACTCTTCTGTCGACTTTGGGCCATCAACAACTTCTGCTTGATCAGCTCAATCTTTCTGGTTGTGATGTCCACTAAATCTGGGCCAATAATTGTTCTTTCACTTAATTCAGTCCAACAAAGTGGAGATCTACACTTCCTCCCGTACAAAGCTTCATATGGTGCCATTTGAATACTAGCGTGATAGCTGTTGTTATAGGCAAACTCAGCTAATGACAAGTGAGTGTCCCAACTACCCTTTAGCTCTATAGCGTAGGCCCTCAACATGTCCTCGAGAGTCTGAATCGTCCTCTCAGTCTGTCCATCAGTCTGAGGATGATAAGCAGTACTAAACTTGAGCTTAGTGCCCATGGCTTCATGTAATGACTGCCAGAAGTTCGATGTAAACCTCGGGTCCCTATCTGAAATGATAGACTCCGGCACTCCATGAAGTCGAACAATCTCATCTATATACAGCTTTGTCAATCGTTCTAACGAGTAAGTACTCTTGATAGGCAGGAAGTGCGCTGACTTAGTCAATCTATCTACAATTACCCATATCGCATCATAGCCAGCCGGGGTTCTTGGCATACCAGTAATGAAATCCATAGAAATACTATCCCATTTCCATTGAGGAATATCAAGATTCTTTAATAGTCCTGGAGGTCTCTGATGTTCTATCTTGACCTTTTGACATGTCAGACATTTCATTACAAAGTCCGTGACATCCCTCTTCATTTTTGGCCACCAGTAGTTCCTTTTCAGGTCTTGGTACATCTTGGTTATCCCTGGATGTATCGTGTAATTATTTCGATGCGCCTCCTCAAGAATAGTCTTTTTGATTTCCTCATTATTAGGGATACAAATCCTCTTCTTGTACCTCAGGATTCCTTCTTCACCAATTTCATAATCAGGCACACCATGGGTCTCCACTTCCTCTCGGATGCTCAATAACCGTTCATCCTCCATCTGTGCAGCCTTCAAGTCTCGAAAAAACTCATAATCACCCAAAATTGATTGTAGAGTGGCTGGAGCCTCATGCACCACTTGGAGATCTCTCAATCTCTCTAAGCAGTAGTGTTCCTCCAAACTCATGTGAAACACATGCACCGTTTTCCTACTCAAAGCGTCTGCAACCACATTGGCTTTACCTGGATGATACTTAAGTTCAAAGTCATAGTCCTTGATGAATTCCATCCACCGACGTTGTCTATTATTCAGTTCCTTCTGATCTATTAAATACTTCAAACTCTTGTGATCGCTGAAGACTTCAAACTGTGATCCATATAAGTAGTGCCTCCAAATCTGTAGGGAATTGAAAGACGACGCGCAGCGGAAAAATCAACTCGAAATTTTTAAAACTTTCAATCCCTTTTCGGATCTACCGATCGCGTTTAAGTCAGGTAGTAAGAAGCATTACCTTGATTCGCTGATTCGGCCGTTCAGGATGCTTCTGCTCGCCTCCTGTCGCGTTCGAAGTCGACAACTCCGGTCGGCTTCCTCTACCGGTATCCACACGAGTAGCCCTCAACCTCGAACGGCGTGCTAGCGCCTATGTCCGTCTAGGGTTTTAGGAATCCGTCCTCTCTCCTCTTCCTTAGCCGTCTCTTATCTGTTGGTTCTCTCTTAGTTAAACCCTAGCTCCTCATATCAAATATATAGGATGCTATATAGGTTTAATTAATAATATTTAATTTCGAAATTAACTCTAAATTAATTCTGAAATTAATACAATATCAAATATTGCCTAATCAGATAAGAGAACAATTAAATAAATATAGTTTAAATTAAATCCGTCTCACAGATTTAATTCACTTATTTATTTAATAAAGAGATGACGGAATTTATATATTTAATTTATCCTTATAAATTAATATCTCTTATATATATATATACGAATTTATATATATATACACACGTCCACCCTATTTATTCATTGAATCTGGACATATCTTAGATTCAATGAATCTGGACATCATAACTCGTGTCGGGCTATTTTGTGTGCGACCCTGTAGGCCCATATGAAGTTGGCAGTGGGCCATTAACTATAATGACCCACAAGTCGTAAGCGGTCTCTAGCAAGACATCACGACTACCCAAATCATATGAGGATCATTGAACGATGCAACCTTTCATACAACCATATCACGTCCCTTTTGTCTCACGACATTTTGGTCATGGATGAGGCATGGAGAACGTCATCCTCCTATCCATGACCGTTACTTTCTCGATCCCTGAGTAGTCTGAGTATAGAAATGGAACTACCTTTCCATTATAGTATGGCCATACATTTCTCAGACTTACTCATCGAGGGGCCCAGTAATGTCTCTCTACGAATGTGAGGGACAAATTCCATCTTGACCATTCACATTCCTACGCATGAAAAACCACTAAGCCTGAACATAGTCTTTATGATCACTTGGTCAAAAGTGACTTTTGACTAGGTCAAAGCTAAGCGTTTCTCATGTATGAATCCATGATGATCTCAGGTCAAAGGGCACAGTGACATGGTTTGTATATGAGAGAAGCTTATGACTTAACCCATGCAGCTCTCTCATAGCGGGTCGGTCCAACACCTTGTACTCTTACATGTGCCTATGACTTTAATTTATATCTCTATATATCTTTAAAGTCATACTGGTCTTATTTCATCTTTGCTCCCACATAGATGACCGACCAGGGACATTTAGGATAAACCATGAGTTATCCAAGGATAGTTATCACAGTAAACATGCAAATAATATGATAACGTAATTAATAAACTCATAAATTAACAATGTTCAAAACATAATGATTGGCCCCTAGGGCACAATTTCCAACAAAATCTTCAATGCAAAAACCACTGCCGCTAATTCCAGGTCATGTGTAGGATAATTTTCCTCATGTGGCCTTAATTGCCTAGATGCATAGGCAACCACCTTTCCTTCCTGCATCAGGACACACCCTAAACCCTTAAGTGAAGCATCAGTGTAAAGGGTGTATGGTTTACTAGGATCTGGAATAGTCAACACTGGAGCCGTGGTCAACTTAGCCTTCAGTTCTTGAAAAGCTGCCTCACACTTTTCGCTCCAAATAAATGATTGGTCTTTCTTGGTCAACTTAGTTAGAGGCATGGCAATCTGAGAAAATCCCTTGATGAATCTTCGGTAATACCCAGCTAAGCCCACAAAACTTCGTACCTTCGTCACAGATTTTGGTGTTTCCCATTTCAACACAGCATCGACCTTGCTAGGATCAACAGCTACTCCCTCTGCGGATACTACATGGCCTAAGAACTTCACTTCTCTAAGCCAAAACTCGCACTTGCTTAACTTAGCATATAACTGATGATCCCTCAATATTCGCAATGCAATGTAAAGATGCTCTCGGTGTTCTTCCTCATTCTTGGAGTATATTAGGATATCATCTATAAACACCACAATAAACTTATCCAAGTACGGCCTAAAGATCCGGTTCATATAGTCCATAAACACCGCTGGAGCATTCGTCAAACCAAAAGGCATTACTAGGAACTCGTAATGTCCGTATCTCGTACGAAAGGCCGTCTTCGGGATGTCCTCTGCTCTAACTCTTAATTGATGATATCCCGACCTTAAGTCAATCTTAGAAAACACCGCTGACCCCATTAATTGATCTAGCAAGTCATCAATCCTAGGCAAAGGATATTTGTTCTTGATAGTCACTTTGTTCAACTGCCGGTAATCTATACACAATCTCAAGCTCCCATCCTTCTTCCTCACAAACAGTACTGGTGATCCCCACGGTGAGACACTTGGTCTAATAAATCCTTTTTCAAGTAACTCTTCGATTTGCTTTTTCAGCTCTGCTAATTCAGAAGGTGACATTCTGTACGGTGCTTTAGAAATTGGAGCTGTTCCTGGTACTAGCTCAATGGAGAATTCAACTTCCCTTTCAGGAGGTAAACCGGACACTTCCTCAGGAAACACCTCAGGAAACTCCTTTACTACCTCGATTTGGTCTATACCAACTTCTTTATCCGTACTAACGGAAAAGAAAACAGCATACGCCTGACAACCCTTCTCAATACACTTAGTCGCTTGAGTAGCAGATAACCACAAACGACCATTAATAGCCTCAACTATCGTAGTGCACAAAGGAAGAGTTACTATCTTCCTTTTACAATCCAGAATGGCATTATTTGCTGATAGCCAATCCATACCAATAATCACATCAATACCCTTGAGGGGTAGACAAATCAAATCAATCACAGACTCACGATTCTCAAATTTAAGCACAAGACTTAAACACGCCTGTGTGGTTAACACAGTGGCTCCCGCTGGAGTTGACACTTTCAACATGTAAGACAAATCATGCATTGGAAATTTAAACTTTTGAGCACATTCCGCAGCAATAAAAGAATGAGTGGCACCAGAATCAAACAATACAGGTATATCATGTCCTTGAAGAGAGACAGTACCTCTAATCAGATTAGGAGACATACCAGCTTCCTCTCTAGTCAAAGCAAAAACTCTCCCGGGCACTGTGGATCTGAAACTAGGAGTTTGCTGCTGTGTTTCTGGGCAATTGCGAGCTATATGTCCAAACTTATGGCATCTGTAGCATTCCAAACATTGTCCTGGATGATTCTTCCCACATCTCGAGCAAGGATCGCCAACACTCGGTGTGGATCTGGTAGGCTCACGGTAAAAGCTCTGATTTCCTCCCATACGGCTCCCCTGAGCCTGTCTCCTCTGCATATAGCCTCTACGGGCTAAATCCTTCTGATTCTGGTTCTTGCCTCTGCTTGAGTTACCCGAGCTCCCATAACTATAGCTATTCTTTTTATTGATTCCTCCCATTGGCCTCATAAAACTGGAGAATCTGCCCTGGTTATCCCGACGTCGGCTCTCCTCTACCTCTCGGGTTCTGCGAGCTGTCATCCTGAGTTTCGTGCAAGCATCCTCGAAACTCTTAAACTCATATAAGGCCATTTGCTGCTTCAACTCTGGCCTCGCCCGTTCTATCAATTGTCGGGCCATCCACTCTGGGTTATCATTATGCTGCAGATAGGTAACATGCTTAGAGAGGTCAATATACTTGGCAATAAACTCATCCTCATGCATGTTCTCTTGTCGAAGAGCATAAAAAGCTGTTTCTTTTTCTTGTCTCATGGCTAGGGGGAAGTAGTGATCAAAAAACATCTGTTTGAATTCGTTCCAAGTAATCCCCGAGTCATCTATGCCGCTTACGCTCCTCCACCACCTCTTAGCTCGATCCCTCAGTAAAACTACCGCTGCTTGTACCTTTTGGTAGGTATTACAGCCACAAGCTTTAAATATTGTCTCCATGTCGTCTATCCAAGCCTCAGCTTTGTCAGGATCCATACCCTCATCAAACGTTTTTGGATGATGCCGCTCTATGTCCTTCCATACGCTTTTAAGGTTCACCGCTTCTTCTTTTCCTGGTCGCCTTTGTGAACTACTCTCTTCTCTGGTTCCTTCAATAGAACCCCTGTGGGTGACAGAATTTCCCACCGACGGTCCAGGAAGCCCATTCCCTTCAAATTCTTCCACAGCTTTCTTGACTCTTAAATCTTCCTCCATCTTTCTTACTCTCTCATCTACCACCGTAACTACCACTTCCCTTAACTGTTGCAATAAAGTCTCCTGGTTAACCTGCAGAGGATTCGGTGGTTGATTAGGTGGGTTTGTGGATTCATCTCCACCCTGATCAGTTTGTCGGGATCGCGTCCGTACCATCCTCCCCACCTAAGGATGGAACCCACCAAAAGAAACACAAAGTAAGGACAAGCACAGACACAAAGTAACAGGGAAGGTTATGTGAGATTATTATATATTGCCACTAAATGCAATGTAATGCAACCCGCTTCACAGAATCTTTTGCTCTGATACCAAATTGTGACAACCGTTCCTTTAAAACCCATTTTAATCAAAATTTTCAATTTATTCGAATGATTAACCATGATAGAAAAGAAGAAACCTTAAAATTTTAAAATCGCTATCATGGTTAAAAGAAATAAACTTATATTACGAGCCACATCAATCGTTCACTTGGGCCTTGGACTTTTAAAGTCCAGAAATATCATTCAACCATTAGCCCAAACCAGACTTATATTTTCAACATACGAACTGATAAATCAGTTTAATATAAACTATAGAGCTCATTAGTCAAAAGTCAATACTTTCAAAGGAGCGTTACACGTAGAGTCTAAAATGTCTCGGGCCTCCTCACGGCCCTATCATACCAGATAGTAGTAATCACAAGTATTCTTTTACATCATGATAGTAGATGAGCCCTATGTGGCAATATATAACAAGTCAACACATAGAACAAAAGCAGGGAGGCTATACAAGCTATAACAGCACACTATGCCTCCGGAGCCTTCCCTGATGGGCCACCACCTGAACTATCGCCTGAAAATGTTAAACCACGGGGTGAGACAAATGCCTCAGTAACCAACTTTCCAACTCATCATACATACTAACATGTGCTCGTGAGGTGTCAAGTGGGACAGTTATAAATTCTCGAGAACTATAGATATATCCATAGAAATATAATTTCAATCATCCAAACCCTCACTATGGGGGCCAACACACAAGCCACATAAGTCTATCCCTCACTCTGGGGGATCAATCAACCATATGGGCCTATCCCTCACTTTGGGGGACGAATAAGAAGCCACAAAGGCCTATCCCTCACTATGGGGGACGAAAGAAGAAGCCAACCAATGTGCACCAATGGCGGCCTTACCACGTGGTAGGATAGGACTCAATCCAAAATCCAAATAACAACCAATCATTCACAATATAATAAAAATGTTTCAATCTTTCTTCAGTATAATCCATAAGATATAAATCATATATCTTTTCCAAACTTCTCAATTACAATTCCAAAAATCCCACGAGACAATTTTCATAGCTCAAAAGACATAACATATCTACTCAAGTTCCAAATATCAAATATTATTCTGAAAACATCAAAATACTCACAAACAACATATTAGCACATATAACAAGTGGAAAGTGGTTACCTCTCGCCACAGCAATACTAAGGATTACCACAAGGTCAATCCTTTGCTCAACCAATAATTAATCTACACAATTAATATAACCACATATTAATATAAACTAATTAATTAATTAATTAAACTTCTCTATATTATTAAAATTTTTACTCTAAATTCCCGCAACTCTCATAACCCAAAAATTATTAAGTATTTTAGCAACAATTTAAAATTTCTAACAACTCCAAATTATTTATTTACCACCTCCAAATTATTTACCTTAATAAAAAGGATTTTCAACAATTTCTAAATATAAAATTATTATATTATAAACTCTAAAAATCCTCATTTAAGTTTAAACCTCAAAATCAAACTATCAAAAATTCAATAATATTTCAAATATTTATAAATAAATAATCTAATCAAAACTTTAATGGTATAACTACCATATATGTATTTCCATAAATAATAAACTTTTTAGCTACAATAATTATTTTAAAACCTCCAGTCACCCAATAAATAAAAATAAACCGATTAAAATCTTAATAATATGTTAAACACCTCAATTAAATTATTCAACTTAATTTTAATCGGTAAAATATGATATAAATCATATATCACATATTTTTCAACTAGAAAAATCCATTTAAGCACTAAAACCAACAAATGGACCAATCCAAACCGATTAAAATCTCAATATTATATCAAACAATCCAAATAAATTATTTAACTTAAATTTAATCGGTAAAAATATAATATAAATCATATATAACAGATTTTTCAACTAGAAAAATTTATTTAAATACTAAAAACCAACAAATAGAGAAATCTAAACCGATTAAAATTAACAACTTATTTATTTCTAAATTTCTATAGTCATCTTTTGTCAAAACTCAATACTTATATCACATATAAGTCTCAAAATTTTCTCTAATCACTATGGTAGTACTACTATTATGAAGCATAAAATATATGTGAAATATTTATGAAGAAAGTTTGATGAAAAGAGATAATTTCATGTACCTAAAATATCTTCAAAGCTTATTTCCTCCTCTACCGGTCTGCTCCTCCCACTCTAACTCTCTCTTTCTCTCTACTTCTTGTTCTCTCACGCACTCTCGCCTTCTGCCTCTTACTCTCTTTTATTCTACAATTCCAACCACCCGTCGCACAATTTTCCTCATTGCATTAACTCTTCATCTCCTAAGTCTTCCTTCTCTCCCCCTAAGTCTTCCTTCAAACCAATTTTTTCCACACGTTTGCCCATTTTCCACTCTCTCCCAAATTTTCCACCCTCAAGTTTCAACTTTCCACCGAAAGTTGGTGGAAAGTTGACTCTTTTTTTTTTTTAAATAATAGGATATTACAGTCTGATATTCGAAAATCAGAAAATCTGAAGGAAGAGAGAGAGGCTCTACTAGGGTTTCAGTGTTTTGGCTTGGAGAAGATGTTTCTAAGGATCCAATACCTTAAGTAAGTGAATCTAACCTCTAATCTACTCTTTCTCTTGAGATTTTTAAGGATTTTGTAAAGGAATACCAGGGCTCTCTAGTTTCTGATGAAATTGAGGTTTTTGACCGATTGTTCTGAGTTTAAATGATTGTTATGGGCTAGTATATGTATTTAATCGGTGTAGTTTTCTTGAATTTGGAGATTTGGAAGTTTTGGGAATTTGGGGTTTGTGAAAATAGAGGTTTATGATTGAGGATGATAATGCAGTGGTTGAAATTGAGTTTTGTGAATTGGGTTATGATAAGGAAGGTTAAATTGGAAGTTTAATCAGTTTGGAATGTTAGTAGGACTTGATTTTGTTCTAATTGCATGTTTGGGTAATGAATTTCTAGAGTGGGATTTGAGTTTCTGAATTCAGTTGAGGTTTTGGAAGGGAAGCTAGAGTATTAATGGTCTCTTGTAGTTTTGGAGTGTTATTGTGATGATTTTGGCCCTTATGAGTGGGGTAGAGTTTTAGTTGATGCTAGGAATTTTGAGTCCTCAAGTGTTGTATTGACCATTTTATTAGTTTGAAAGCTAATACATGGTGGTTGTGTATTTGTGTGTTTGTGTAGACTTGTTGTGAGTATTTGTTGGTGCATGGGGCATCATGGTGTTTTTGTTGTTCCTTGCTCAGACGAGAGGTAACCACTTTCCAATCCTTTGTACATGCTGTTATGGTACTGTGAATGGATTTATGTTTTGTGCGTTGAATAATAGCTGGTGTTCTAAATGTATTTTTGTATATCAAAAAGGGAGAGTTGTCTTGTAGGGTGTACAATACTGAATGCGTTGGGAATTTTTTGAAAGGTATGCCACTGATTGAAATTACTTATGGAATGGAATATTTACTCTTTGGTAAAGATGGTTGAGCATGATGCGTGTGTTGGGATTGGTGAGAGATTGTATTGTTACTACCACGTCGTAAGGCCTCCATTAATGTATGATGGTTGACTCTTTACGTCCCCTATACTGAGGGATAGGCCCTTGTGGCTCCTTACGTCCCCCACAATGAGGGATAGGCCAGGTTCGGCTCTTTGAAATCCCCCAAAGTGAGAGATGTGTTGATGGGTTGCATCATTATACTTGCATGGTTCTTTGTGGCTATCACTTATAGTTTTACATATAACTGCCCCCACTTGACACCTCATGAGCACCTATTCGTCTGTACTCTGTATTGGAATGTTGGTTATTGGGACTTCTGTCTCACCCCGTGGTTTACAATGTTTTCAGGTGAAGATTCTAGGTGTACGTCTTCGGGAAGGAACGCGGAGGCTTGAGCTTGGTTAAGCTATAATGCCTCTAGCCTGTAGTATATGCATGACCAGTGTATATTGCCACATTTAGGGTCTTTTTGAAATATTTTTATTGCATGGCCTTATTGTAAACTTGAGAAAGTGTCATCTCCTTATTTTGTTGGCCGAAGGCCATTCTTATTGTTGTATAAAAATGATGAATTTATGTTCATGTGGATCATTAGATGGGCTTTTGTGTGATGCCTTATTTACCTGAGCCGGAGGCTCGAGGCCCAATGAAATGAATTGACTGTTGATCTAATGTCAGAGTGAAGGATCGGTTGCATGCGCCTTAATTGGGTTGATACCCACAGTTTAATTGTCAGCTTTAAAAATGGTTTATAAGTTTTCTTTTCTACTATGGTAGCTTGTATAACAGTTTTCTTTTTCTACCATAGTAGTGGGTTATATGTTAAGTTCTTTATATGTTGAGGGATGGAGTTTTACAAAGTACGCTAGCAAATGCCAAATAGTTCAAATTGATTATTTCAGCATCGGAACAACAAAAATTGAAGAAAAAGAAATTTTGATGAATAAAAATAAAGGGTTAATATATACTCCTCCGGTCCTAAATATAAAACCCATTGTGTAGTGTAATTTTTACTACAAAATGAGTCTTATATTTAGGACCGGAGGAGTAATTTTTAGTCTTTAAAATTTGGGCTTGTTTTAGTTTTAGTTCCTTAAATTAGTTTATTATTTCATTACTTAATATAAGAGTTAGTTAAAGGTTAGGTTTAGTCCCAAAATTGATTGCAAGGGCCAAGAGGTTTCTACAAAGGAATAATTTCAATCATTCAATATATAATTGAAGAGGATAGTTTAAGGGACCAACACATATTTATGACAAATAATCAAGTTAATCCACAATTCATTATGTAGCTTTTATATTAAGAAATAGAGATAGTATATATTTTTTCTTTGATATCGCTGCTAGATTCGAGTATGA